TATATCATAAAAAAGTGGAATAAGATAATAATCTTTAAATCTAATTAATTATATATTTTGTTGTTATTTAATCCTTTCCTTCTGTGAATATCTGCATCCATTAAATATTCATGATACTTATTCAATACATTTGATGTTGTCGATATACAAACAATTACATCACCCAAGTAGTAATAATACCAAGGCCATGCAAAAATAATTTTTTTTAATAATGCATGTCTACCAGTAGTTCACAAGAATAAATAAATAGGGAGGGTTTTCCTTCCCAATAATAAATCTGATGTTGATCACAGGTGTCAGATTTAATTAAATTTTCCTTACCACAAACAATGGTACCGCCTCCATACTTGCAGAAAATTTTTACTACAAGTGAAGGCTCCCAATGTTTGAAGGTTTTTTTATAAGGTCAACAAAAACTTTCCCTTATTTTCCCCTCAGACCAGACTTGATTGTTGCCATATGTGCATTGATCACTGATGAAGATCTGCATTTGTGTGATGATTGCTTGTGTTATACCCCTCTAGAATAAAGTCAGTGTCTGCAACGGGTTGCTGTTTTGGATTTTCCCAGAATTTAGACACACCAACGTTGGTCAAATGAAAATTAAAGAGCCTTCTCTGGTTTGGGTGCTGTGAGGGAAGATTAGTGAAAACATCGTTGACTATTGGTCGATGAATGGAAATTCCTGGAACTCTGTTGCATCATTCTATCCCTTTGAGAGTATCTCAGTGAGATTAGCCTTGTGTAAATGAGGAAATGAGAATGACTGTAGTGTCCAAGACGGTGTGCGTGCTTTAACACCTGGGGTAAGATATATTGGGAGTAAGATATGTCAAGGTTAAGGTATGACCCTAAGCCCATACCTTAACCCTCACATATCTTACCCCCAACATATCTGGTAATCAAACCTTGTCCTTGTATCTTAACCCTGACATATCACCCCTGACATATCTGGTAATCAAACCTTGTCCTTGTATAGTGCAAGACACCTAGTCCCACAACTTTTTATTGGCCTTGTAGATCCTTCTCTAACTCCAAAAATGGAAAT